CAACACATCTGTGTGAGTTAAATGTGCTCTGGTATGGTAACCTGAGCAGAGCCTATCAAATAAGGTGAGGAGAACAGAATACCAGAGACATCTGAAAACAGCTAATTGTTGTACTCTTGTGCCCCTTTTAAAATCCCACAACGCCCAACGTGGGGCTCGAACCCACGACCCTGAGATTAAGAGTCTCATGCTCTACCGACTGAGCTAGCCGGGCCTTGAGCCCAGCCAAAACACCTCCCTTCGCAACCAGACGCTGGGTCATACAACGCACTCATGATAGTTAGCACGCTTCAGTGTGCTAACTCTACCAGAAATGATCCCAAAAGCTGAGAGCAACAGAGTATCAGACACTTGCCTGCTTGCTGGAGGTCATGATCAGATTAACAAAACCTGCAAAACTCGGTGATGACAGACCTCCTCGTCACTCCAAAGTGGAGCTCCATCTCTCACTACCATGAAAGAGCCTCATGCTCCGCCAACACTAGCGTAGAATCTTAGCTAGTATGGCTTTTGTTGTGCATTTCCAAAAAACTCTAACCACCAATGTACGGCTTGACCATACTGAGAGTAAGAGCCTTTGACAAGTTTTACCACATATTCAATCCATGGGTAAGGAGTCTAATTTGCGCTTGTGCTAACATCCAAGATAACCCACCACCTAGGACCCATTTCAGCTCCTTTATCATGTTTTCCATCTCACTTGTGTCCAAGGAGTCCACTGAGCACATGTTCTCCAACAGCAAGTGGATTTGCATGTCCAAAAACAGACATTGTTTTTGGTTTGAACAAGTCAGTTTTTGGTTACAGACCCTTTGGACGAGAGGTAGCAGAAAAGACCCCAACGAAAAGCTTGTCCTTCGAGCCGGAGTTGAACCAGCGACCTAAGGATAACTGCCCTGTAAACCTACAGTCCTCCGCTCTACCAACTGAGCTATCGAAGGAGCAGCATGCTGCACAGTTGTTCCGGTTTTGCATTGAAGAGTGGCTCAACAAAACTGTGCTTAAACGGCCATCAAGGTGGAGAGTGGGTTAAGGTAAAAGGCCACGGCTCTTGCTGTAAATCTTTTAGATTCTGACTTGATGAGTGGTGGCCTACCTGCGACGAGCTGGTATGTTTTTCTTTTTTTTGCTGCGCATTTCCATCCAAATACTCCAACCACCAAGTCTTGGCCTTACTGAGATCAAGAGCCTTGAACCAATTCCGCCACATGTTAGGAGTCTAACTGACCCGGAGCTCTTCATTGGGCTAAGATTCAAGCACCTCAGAGTGCACTGCAGCTCTTTCACCATGTCGTCAATGTCATTCGTAGCAGAGCACTGAGAACATGGCGCACGAGAGCGAGCCCCTTTGCAGCTCTTGGACCGGTTGGTTTCCTTACTCCTTCAAAGCCTACCTACGATGCCCAACGCGGGGCTTGAACCCACGACCCTGAAATTAAGAGTCTCATGCTCTACCGACTACCGACTGAGCTAGTCGGGCTTTTCCTGAAGGAAAACACCTCGCCTCAAAACAAAACGCCAGTTTAATCAACACATCTGTGAGAGTTACATGTGCTCTAGTATGCTAACCTGACCAGAGACTATCAAATAAGGTGAGGAGAACAGAATACCAGAGACAACCAGAGTCATGAAGCCATTGCCTTTTATAAATGCCGATTTTGTCCATTCCCTGTGCAAACAAAAATGTGAGTGAACCTCACTTGTTAAGTGCTTTAACGTAGGCATTAAATCCGGTTGGACCACGCGGTGGATCGACAGACCGCAGCATTGCCAGCGGTTCCATGGTGTAATGGTTAGCACTCTGGACTCTGAATCCAGCGATCCGAGTTCAAATCTCGGTGGGACCTGACTGTTTGGAAGTCGCACGTCATGAAGGCTGCCTCTTCTCTGGCGTTGCAATTCACCCCCCTTTCGTCAGCACCTGCCTGAAATCACTCATTGACTCCCACCGCTTTTCTTCACCTTAAATGTAAATCTAATGTTGCTTTGTGCTCACTGACTCATTTGCAGGTGATGTCATTCCCTGCTTTGGCTCACGTGATGGGTTCGACATACCTTGTGTAGTCAGGATGGCCGAGCGGTCTAAGGCGCTGCGTTCAGGTCGCAGTCTCCCCTGGAGGCGTGGGTTCGAATCCCACTTCTGACAGCCCGTGCTTTTCCCACATGCTGATCCCTGTGAGGTGGTATGCTCTTCAAGTGGGTGAATGACAGTACGCATTATGGAGGATTTAGTCAAGCAGAAGCAAGGAAAATGACTATCCCTTTGCTGCTCTTTCTTGCATCGATACATTACCAGCGTGTCCTTGTCATATAACAAGCCAAACATCCGGAAAAAGATATTGTGCTATCAATCAGGAGGGTGATCCGGTAAAATGGAGCGTGTTGTGCTGTTGGGGAATCAAACCCAGGCAAAGGAAAAGGCTCCTTGCATTGGCCGGGAATCGAACCCGGGCCTCCCGCGTGGCAGGCGAGAATTCTACCACTGAACCACCAATGCTTACGTGACCCTGGTCCCTACCACTTTGCCGCCACGGGTCACAGACATCTCATGAACTGGCTTTTACGGGCTCATGTCTGTTTCTTTCAAACAGGTATCACTAAGCTCGGAAAGGATGTTGCTTTTGTTTCATCCCGGATGTCTTGCAGGATACGAGCTACACGTCCACGCCAGCCGTTTTAAACATGGGTGTCATCCCAAACCGGGAGACGGGGCGGAGAAATCAGTGACCAAAAAATATCCTCTGCCTCCCAAAACAACGCACTTTCAAAGACCTAACAGTAACTGGCCACAACCACTTTAACAGCAGAACCGTCTCAGAGGAATAACAGGAAATCAAGCACGTCCGACAACTGGCGTTTACAAATGGTCTCAGCTGAGTCCAACAACTCTTAATGTCTGTCTGGCTTTGTAACCACCCCACACTTGGATAACCATGAACAAGATGACTGAGAATCTCAAAGAGCCAGAGCCATTAAGGGCGGTTCAGAGAGATTCTGACTTCTTAGACCACTTTAGACCACTGCTCCTTCTACACAGTGAGAAAGGCCCAGGGCGTTCTCTGAAGGGGCCATCACACTCCTTCAAACTGGCCCTTCTACACAGTGCAAAGGGGCGAGTGCATATGACTGCACACCACTACAGAAAAGATACGCATGTGCAACAAAGCACTGCCCCGTGTGAGGCTCGAACTCACGACCTTCAGATTATGAGACTGACGCGCTGCCTACTGCGCCAACGAGGCCCGCATCGCAGAATGAGTAGATGAGTAAAATCAAGAGGAAGTCCCGACATAACGCGCATGCAAAACACAGGCTGCCTCTCCGTCAAGAGTGGGCCTGCCGTAGCTCTGGAGATAAGCCCAGCTAGCATGAGTCACTGGAGGGTTGTTGCGGAACATGGCACTGAGGTGAACGCTGCCACAGAATCAGGGGTTTCGCCCAGAGCCAAGGCTACCTAATCGCTAAGTACCGAGCGGTGACTAAGGCTTCTTCTGGTCTGAAGTATGGTTTGGATGGGCCGGGAGTCGAACCCTGGTCTCCCGCGTGCCGGGCGAGAGCTCTACCACTGAAACACCAATGCTTTCTTCCTGGGCCCTTTTCTTCTGCATCCCAGAAGGGTCCTCTGAACAGGCCATTCTACTCTGGCTGTGTGACGGAAGCTACCTTTTGAAAAGTCCATCCCCGCCACCACACACAGTTTTCTGACGTCAGTGAGAGAGGGAGGTTTTCTGCCCACTGAGTTTCTATGAGCAGACGTTCACACCTATTTGCCAGTGTGAATGGCAGCAGAAACTAGAGGAGAGACAGGGTTCAAGCTTCTCTCCCCAACTCCACACAATTATTGAACACTTTTAGTCATCACTTTTGCTGAACATTGTGACTGCCAGGGAGATACCACTTGAGGAATGCAAGGACTGTATGTGGTCAACAGGAGGGTTTTTACATGACTTGATGTGTGGGAATGACAGTACAAGTTATTGAGATCTTAGGCAACCAGGAACAAGGAAAAAGACTGTAATTGTGATTGTGTGAATGATTGAATGAATCTATCATTATTTGGTATTGCAGTCAATACCAGATCATTTCAACAAGAAAAGAATGAATGAAAGCCCCACTATAGTTACAGGTCCATGAAAACAATAACAGTGTATATTTTTAAAGTCAAGCTTTTCTGCCGAGGTGCTGGTCTGATTCCCTGCCTCAGAGGGCCAAATGCCTGAGGCAGCAAATCTACGAAGGCGGGATATCCGTTCCTCCTCTCCCATAGCCCAGTGTTTATTTTTAGTTTGGAGCATGGAAACAATATCAAAAAGGTAAAAACAGTGCCTGGCTCGTAACTCAAGTCTGAATACTGCCACCCTACGTTGACGGCAATGCGACATCAACATAGTGTCTTTTTAATAGTAAATTCTTTCTTTAAAAATCAGTAATATCTACCTAGCTACCTAGTTGACAATATTATAACGAGTGTGTTGCCTTTTTGCGGTGAATGAAAGATCGATTTAAAAAATGTTAACGTCCGCGGAGACAACGGCAGTCGTTTCTGCCATCGTAATTTCTCTCTGCGATGCATATGTAACACCAACCAAGCTAGATAGTTGACAGAATACATTGATACTACCGGTATATTTACCTTTTGTAGTGAAAAACACCTGAAGTTCCATCCACTGTTGACGTCTCTGGAATATTTGGCGCCAGTAATTTTGAAACGATAACAAGACCTTCTGCAGCTGCGCGGCTGAATTTTGGAGAAGCGCCATCATGATTGGCTCGGCCATCCTGACTGCGCAAGATTCGTGGAACCCATCACGTGTGAGCCAAAGCAGGGAATGACATCACCTGCAAATGAGTCAGAGAGCACAACGCAACATTAGATTTACATTTAAGGTGAAGAAAAGCAGGGGAGTCAATGAGTGATTTCAAGCAGGTGCTGACAAAAGGGAGGTGAACTGCAACGCCAGAGAAGAGGCAGCTTTCACAACGTGTAATTTCCAAACAGTCAAGTCGGACCGAGATTTGAACTCGCATTACTGGATTCAGAGTCCAACGTACTAACCGTTACACCACGGAAATACTGGGATTATGCAGTGGTCTGCCCGACACCCCTCTGGTCCAACTGGATATAATGCCTACATTAAAGCATTTGACAAGTGAGGTTCACTCACATTTTATTTGCACAGGGAATGGACAAAATTGGCATTTATAAAAGACAATGGCTTCATGACTCTGGTCAATGATTTTGGACTTGCGCCTGTCTCTGCCTGAATGATTTCTCCACCACGTCTCTGGCTTTGGTATCACTTCCATGTTTAAATGCCTAGGACGCGTACCTTGGAGCCTGAAAGACTTCCCAGAAGACAGAAAAGCAACATCCTTTCTGAGGTCAGCATTTTTTATTTCTTGGTTTCTTATTATTTATTTGGTTTCTTTTACCAGTTCATCCTGCTGTTTGATAGCAAATTATATTACAGATGTTTGAACTGTTATGTGGCAATGACACAGTGATAATATAGCAATGCCACAAAGAGCAGCACAATCACTCTTTTTACTCTTATAAATAGATTCATTCATTCATTCTCTATAGTTTTCCTATATTGTGAACCATGTTTTTATTCTGTCAGCTCCTCAGTGGTGCCTTTGATGGATCCAGCACTATCACAAGCCCCACCAAAAGAAGAGTGTCATCACCTGGTCCATTCCCAAAATGTCTCTCCAGGCTGTTTCTGCTCTGTCTCTTCCTTCCTCTCCTGTTCCTGTATCAAGTCCCGGTTCTTCCATTCTGCCCTCCACTGTAAGATGATATTCTACTGCACTTGAAACAGGAACTTTTCATGTGTAGCTTGTTACTTGTTATGATGTCTAAGAATTTACCTTTTTTTTCTTCATAAATTAGGAAGTGTCATCTGTCAGCTCCTCCTGTGTCTCCTCTGGTACTCCCTCTGCTCCTCTCACCTTGCCATTGCCTGAAAATGTGGCGATTACACGTGTTTCAGATGCTGCCTGGCTGTCTACAAAGCTGCTGAAGACCATACCACCCCAAGATCAGAAATGGATTTCAGCAGCTCTATGGAAAAACCAGTGTCTGCACACAGACCTAAAACCGTGGTATGATCCACCAGAGCCATCCCTCATTTACCACCAGGCCCCCACTCCAGAGTGCTTTTTCAACCACCAGCTTCTTTTGTGGATGCCATACCACCTGTGGAAGGTCAGGCTGTCCTGTCCCATTTGTGGCAAACAGCTCACAAGCTATGGAGCTCACGAGAGCTCGCCACATTCTGGATGTGGACAGGTGTTACCTGATGATCACAGACACTCTCTGGTGCAGTTCAGCTGGTTGCAAGACAACATATCTTTCCTCCAGCAAGACAATCTTGGACCAGCTACACTTGGCTCACAGGCTGGAGTTCAGATTGATTGTGACTCGAAAGTAAGTATATGTAGATCATTTTGTCTTAGTTTGTTGTCAAGAAATTAGAAGTTTTTAATGTTTGTCTCATTCTGTTTCTCGTTCCCTTTGTTTTATATAGATACGCTTGTGATGTGTGGGTGATTCCTTTTCTGAGGAAGAGGGCACTTGGTAACAGTCCCACCCGCTTGGTCAGACAGCTGAGGGAGAACCACAGCAAGGAATGGCTTAAGTGGCTCTGCCGATACCTTGGAGCATGCTCTGACTTTGCCGCCAGGCCAGGCCTTTTCCCTGTGAGATTCCAGGATCCACCTGAAGCTGTGGATATTCCATTACACACATAGATGCTAGCTGTTTATGAACACAACATTTTGAGCAGGCTGGACGACATCAAAGCCAGCATCCACCTTTGGCAGCATCCTGAAAATGGACTCCACAAAGAGGGTAAGTAGTTTTTAACTGCTAATGCTGTAAAATACAGTTCATACATAATTATTACACTGGTGCTTGGATACAAATTTAACAATTTGTTTAGACATTCACTCTGTTTTCTGTGGCATTGCAGATCACCAAGAAGCCCTCAGGGATTGCTAAGGGGACAGCCCTGTGGCTTACAGATGTAAGCAATGAAAGAGGGCAAATCAGTGTCCTGGCTGATCAGGAGGGTCCTGCCCTGGACAGAATAGCAACTGGCCTCATCCGCAGGTACAGTAATGCCAGTGTGGCTCCACCTCAGCTGCTTTATGTTGACTGTGACTGTTGTCAGGAGGGAAGAGGCCAGACAAAACTGAAGGAGAGGTTTGGTGGGTGGCCGAACCTCATTGTCAAGCTGGACATCTACCATTTCATGCGGCGATTGGCATCTGGGTGTACAAAGGATGCTCATCCTTTGTACCCTGTTTTCATGGCTAAGCTGTCCAGCTGCATCTTTGAGTGGGACAGAGGAGATGTTGCCTTACTGCATCAGGCCAAGTGGGAGCAGCTGAGACAGGAAGGTGTCCCTGGCACCACTGACGCTACAGTCGATCAGCAAATCACCAAAGACGAGTTGGCATTGCACTGCAGGAGGCAGACATGAGGAGAGCAGCAGACAGTAGTCATGATTGAGCAGCTCCTCAATGAACTGATGGGGGCAAAGAGCAGGGATTTTCTTGGTGTCCCTCTTTTGGATCAAGAAAGGATGCAGCACATCTGGCAAGTCCAACAGAGGCATGTTAAGTGCATACAGGACGAGCCAGGTGTGCTTCTATACACCCAGACAGGCCAGATAGGTGTGCCAGAGGGTTCACGTCATTGGAGTCCTTTCACCTCCATGTCAACAGGTTCATTCCAGGTCAGTATGAGTCATTATTCATCAGTAAGATTCTTTAACATTACGATCCTGTTGTTTGTCATTACCATTATCCTGGAAACAGAAACACAGTTAATAATTTACAGATGACCAAACACAACAAATAAACATATAGTTGTGTTTACCTTTCTACTATGTTAAGGAACGAGTGCAAACAGCTTAAATTTCCAGCTGTATTTCCTGGAAGGACTGAACAGGTGGAACCAGGACCAAGAAGCTGCATCTCTAGTGGTCAAGCCTGCCCCCCTGCTCAGTTACTCTGGAGACCTTGTTCACTGTGTTAACACGCTCAGTGTCAAGGCCTTTGGAAGGCACCGTCCCATCTTTTCAGCCACCTGCTGTTTACACTGGTGAGTTTTAGCTTCAATATTTGCAATATTTGCTATATTCACTATACAGTAAAATCATTTTTAATGCATTATCTGAAAGTGAATTTTCCACTCTGTATTATTCTCTAACCTGTCCAGGTGAGCTAATAGGTATGGATTACCTGTACAGCCAGACAGGGAAAGGTCTTGCAGGATGTACATCCTGACTCAGAGGAAACTAAGGCACTACTGGAAGATGTTGGCGCTGAGGAGGATCTGGAAGATGAGGGCTTTGAGGACACTGGGTTTGACCCTACTGTAGAGCTGCTGGACCTGTCTGATAGAGCCCCTGTCACCACCAGCTCAGCTCACACTCCAACTCCCACCTCTCTCCAGCCCTCTCCTGGTCCTACTGTTACCACTTTAACAGCACACCAGTAACAACTGGTAATAATTATTATATGATAATTGCTACTTATCATATAATAGTAATTGTAGCAAAAAGATGAAGTCCAATTTAATGTATTTTTATAATCACCTTTTAAAATTTTATTACATTTACAGCTTGTGCATGAGTCCACACACTCTGATCCATCAGCCCACCCTACCTTTTCTGCTGCTGTTCTCCGTACTTACACCATCCTTCCAGCAAGTACCCCTGCTGAACTGTCACAGCTGGTAAGTGTTCTTATTATGTGACATTTCATCTGTTGTTCTTGTAATACTATGTGATGTTTGTCTTTTAATTCGATTGCATTTTTTTCAGGCTCAGCTGTCCTCTGGCCAATCAGCTGCTGTCACAAGTGCAGCCTCTGCCCTTCCTCTCCCCACCACCTTCACGACTGCTTCTGCTGCTGCAGCTACAGCTGGGTCAAGAATTGCCACCACCACCCCAGCAGTACCTGAGAAACAGCTGGTTAGTCTTTTTGCATCAAAAAGGTGTCAGTGGTCTTAATGTCCTGTTTGTCATTGTATTATATATTATTGACATTAACATTTATTTATTCTATTTTTAATTGTTACCCTTGTTCTAATATATCCAAACTTTAATTATTTTCTATATTTTTTCATTTATTGTATTTATGTTTATTTTGGTTATTTATCATTTATTTTTCTATTTTTAATTGTTTAAATTATTCCTGTTTCTGCTTCAGGTTTACTGCACTTTGGTTTGATCACACACGTGTGTTTGTGAGTGTTTGTGTGTGTGAATTTAGTAATAAATTTGGTACATTTCAGTGAGTATCTTAAGGTTTTTTCAACAAACATGCAAACTCATTCATAGAAGACAATTACATTGTTGCAGTACTTCATTCAGAAACTTAAAAATTACTATAAAATGTATTACAGTGAAAAGTAAATGTGATATTTACAAACATTTAGTACATGACTATATAAAGATTATTATGATTTCAGTACTAATCATTTAATTGGCACACACAAGAAGCCACTGTCCTTTTTTAGGTGCATTTGATAACACTTGGTAGTAGTTTCTGTTACAGGCAACATGTTCCAATAGTGGAATCGAACCAGCGACCTTTGGATCAAGAGCCTCCTATGCTATTCTCCAATAAGGTGTCATGTTTGGTCATATTTCTTAAAATAATAGACAAGAATGTTGTGCTTATACTTGTGATGGACAACAGAGACACAAATAACCACAAGTTCCATCAATTTTTTCTCATTTTCTCAAAATTTCCTCTCTTTTCCTTCACATTTCTCTTTCCCCTTCTTCCCCCTTCTTCCCCTCTTTCCCTCTTCCCTCTCCCCTCTTTACCTTCACCCACTCTCCACCTTGATGGTCATTTAAGCACAGTTTTGTTGAGCCACTCTTCAATCCAAAACCAGAACAACTGAGCACAATGCCGTCCTTTCGATAGCTCAGTTGGTAGAGCGGAGGACTGTAGGTTCACAGAACAGTTATCCTTAGGTCACTGGTTCAACTCCGGCTCGAAGGATGTGCTTTTCTTTGTGCTGTGCTTTCCTTTCTACCACCTTGCATTTC